AGGGTCTCCAAACAGCGATGTTTTTCATCTAGGACACCCCAGCTCGGAAGACATAATGGACCGATAACAGATAGACTGGAAGTCAGCGCCTTGACGGTTTGTCGTCTTGTGGTAGGTTGGCTACCGCGTGATTTCTTTCAGTGCGACCTTGCGTGAGCGAATAGAGCGCCCTGTGGTAGACACTGGCAAAGCATACGTAGGATGTGACCTAGCCACCTCAGTTGGCACAGCGATATAAGATAGTCAAGAGGTGGGGCGGTATAACCTAGGATGCGACGTGTAAGATCGAGGTTGAAAGTGTGGTGTTCACAGCACACATGAGCTATCCTGCGCAGACAACAGTTGTCAAAGGCGGAAATCCGACGCAAATCATCTACTGGGATTGGCCAGGTCTCGCTTCCATACAACAGGGCAGTGCGAACACATACATTGTACACCCAGTCCTTTACCGATAAAGAAACGTCATGACGACGCCACAGATGCCGCGGATAAGCGAAAGTTGATCGGGCTTTGGGAACATGGAGAGGAAGCTCTCTTCCAATAGTGCCATCAGAAGAAACGCAGCTCCCAAGGTAGATGAAACTATCTACTTGTTCAAGCTGCACGCCTTCAAGGATCAAGACGGGGACAAGTGGATATCAGTCATGGAGTAGGACCTGACATTTCAATGGGGCGAAGGTCATGGCATACTTGATAGCTTCAATCACCAAGCGGCTTAGAACGACCTGCGTGATCTGTGGGTCGTCACCCAGCAAGGTAATATCATTAGTATAGTTCAAGTCATTTGCGAGGTTGCCTGGAAGAAGCTCTGAGCCAGAACCCTGGAGATCTTCCAGGGTACTTAATAAGACATGTTCAATCGCAAAGTTGAAGAGAAACGGGAACATGTGGCATCCATGTCGCAAACCGCTAGTGAGGGCGAAAGGTGAAGAGAACTCACCGTAAGCACTCATTCTGCCAGAGACATTGCTGTATACTGTCGAAGTATGGCGGTATACTTATCGGGAACTCCATTCCTTCGTAGACAAAGCCATAGAGCAGGCCGGTTGACCGCAGCTCGGGTGTTCAAAAAGGTGACAACGGTAGGCTGGCGATAAACGTGGCGCTGCTCGAGGAGTTGGCGGAGAGTAAACAAGTGGCCCACCCACCTTCGACCGGGGCAGAAACCAACCGTTGCTCACGGTAGTGTGGTTCTCGAATCGGTGTTAGCCTGCGCAGTAGATGGATGTTAGCAATTTGGAGGCGGCGGATATTAGACTGATTCCCCTGTGGTTGGGGCATGAGGTACGAGCACCTTTTTTGAAGATGGGTACGACTATCGACTCGCCCCAAGAGGATGGAACGTTTTCTTTACACCAGATCTTCGAAAACAGAGCTGTTAACTGATTGACAATTGCCTCGCCACTGTATTTGAACAGCTCCGGAGGTAGTCCGTCTGAACCAGCAGCTATGAATCGCTTCAAATGACGAAGTTCAAGATAGACCTCCGCTTCGGTGGGTGGTTCCAGTGAAACGGTCCAAGACGCGCAGGTTGGCCTACTTCTTAGACAAGCAGAAGGAGGAGGCCAACGAAATTGGGAGTGAAAGTGCTCAGCCCAACTGTCCATACGCCTGCGTAAATCGAGTACCGCGGTTGTTTGCCAATACAAGAGGCGGCGCTCAAGTAAGTGATGTAAAGTGGAGTTGTGGCCAACTGTTGTAGGTTTGAATTGGTGAACTAAACGCAGGTGGCAATCACTCGTGAACGGAAGAAGTCAAGGAACTGCAGACAATGTTAGTTATTGAGAAATACTGATGCAGTGTGTATGCGGGACCCAAGCAATAACCAAGCATAGTATACAAAGTGATAATGAGGCAAGTTCAGTGTCAAACAGAGGTTATGAAACCACAACGGATTGGGCTTATTATGACCTCGGATCAGCTAAGGTCACATAATGAAGACACAAAGCAACATGTGCGAAGCATGGCAACTAAGCCGTTAAGGTCAAAGTACAGTTGTGCAATGCATGAGGGATTCATGGATGTCACATCTAACAAGTGAACTCAGGCGAGTTACAACTCCCAAGTGATCTCACGAGGTGATATCAGGAGAGCAGCATATCACATAGTGGACCTACAATTTTGAAGAAATCCGGTTCGCTCGACACGTACCTGGCTTTCACGTGTGTAATTGTCAGTATATGGATAGTCATAGAGCCAAGTAACCTGGAGGCGATGGAAATACTGATTCCTCTATGATTGCGGATTTTGGACGTGAGTACTTCTTCAAGATAAGGACAATAACGGAACTGCTCCAGCAGACTTGGGCAGTTCCCCGCTCCCAGTTTTGGTAAGATCGTGTAAATCATCCACAAGAGCAAACCAGAATCTGAAGGCAATAAGGCATTATAAACTTTCAAAAGTGTCATCTCACGTTCGACTTCTGAGCGTGAGGGCGGATCCAGATGGAAGGGCTACCATTGGTTGACAGAGAAGTTGGTAACGCCGATTGATAGATGATTGATGTGTTCGGCTCAACGCACCAAGCATTTGACAAGCTGTGAATCGGCTGTCCACCCCCAGCACAGATGGTATCGTTAGCACCAGGTTTCCTCCTATCCGTTTCGCGTATCAGACGGAAGAACTTCCGATACTTACCAAGGACAATGGCCATTTCCATCGTCGATACACGACAAGACCACACGCTTCGCGGTTTCACTGCAAGCTAACACGCAGTTTCGCCATGAGGTCATTGCGAGCCTCGTTGTGTGCGCCCCCCAGCCGGGATGTGTCCGCGAGCATCCAAAAGTTTGAGAGACTGTAGAGAGACCCAATGTCCAGGTTGGCAATTTGATTTGCCACATGAAGACATATCTGCTGCTAATAACGTCTGGTGGATATGCGATCAGTGGTCTCTACTGTGTTCAGAGAGCGTTTACTCAGCCCGGATGCCAGCGTACTTTGATACACATTCAGAACATCTGGCTTGGCCAGATGGCATGTATCTATGTGCTCAAAGCGCCGCCACATTCCCGCACGGAATCGAACTGTAAGATCGGCACAAACGAGTGCGTGGTCAGAGTCTACGTTGGTGCTGTAAATCGAGCGACAGTTGTAGACACACTTTCTCCAGCGGTAACTGATCGTGCTGCGATCGATCTGCGTCTATGGCTGGTGGGCATCATGTCACCCTCCGGCGGGTGCCGTGTCGGAAGTTAGCACTGCGAGAAATCGACGAACATCTTTACACATGTAACAACCGCTCACCGTTATCTGTAAGGGAGTCCACGTCGCGTTGGCCACCCATATGCCTTGGACAGTACTCCAACTTGAGTGTTCGGATCACCAGCCAGCACTGAATTGTCTGTACTTCCTCCATGGTGGTCAGTCTCCTTCAGTTGACAATAGAAATCATTCAACGAGCCAGCGTTACAGTTTGTGGGGGCGCAGGCAGCAAAGACAACATGATACATATTGTTCCCGTGCGACTTCGAAGCTCCGAACGAGCCGAACAGTACGACGGCGCAGATAAGGCCGTTTATATGGATCCAAATAGTAGAGAAGTTACAGCCGTATGCGCCCACCGAAGCGAACTGTAAGATCGGCATGAACAAATGCGTTGTCAGAATCCACGCTCGTACCTCAAATCGAGCGACAGTTTTGGACACAGCCTCTCCAGCGATAACTGATCGCAATGTGACTGATTTGCGTACATGGCTGGTGGGCGCCATGGCACTCCCCGGAAGACACTGTGTCGGAGGTTAATGCTCGCGAGAAATAGATGAGCATCTACACACAGTTGTAGCGGTCACTCACTGTTATCATTACGGGTGCCAACATCATGTTGGCAGCGTAAATGCTGCTTATGATAATGAGTTTTCCAACTTGGGCATTCAGATCACCAGCCAGCACCACAATTTCTGTAACGAGAGTGCTCGGTCAGTTGGTTATTGAATGCAACTTTCACCGAGTCAGCGCTATAGTTTGAAGTAGCGTAGGCCGAAATGACGAATAGACACCGTTTGTCTGCGAGCAACTTCTAAGCTTGGAAATAGTCAGCCAATCTGACGGCGTACATCCGACTGCTGATTGGAATCTAGTCGAGCAGCGCAGCTTCAGCCCAGGACCTCAGAGTTATGATCTCACCGGCTTGAGCGGTATTTGAATCTGCGTCAGGTCCATACACGCACAATGAGAAAGCGTCACTAGTGTCACATGAAGAGGATCTCAGGGTGAGCAAGAGCTAGTGTTGCAGACGGGTTTCCGACAAACAGCACATATCGACGGGTATAGCCCCGAATGTTTAGGTAAGTGCTGTCTATTGTCCCAGTTGTAAAAGAAATGCGCACCTTGAAGTGTGCCAGTCTTAACGATGAGCGAAGACTCCAAAGAAAAACGGAGGTTGCCCGCTTGGTGGGACATAGAACTATCGACTGGATCGGAGTGACGCACTGTGATTGAAAGTTGAAATTAAAATACAAACGACTAGCGAAGCAAGATGGAGAAGGGCTAGTAATTGGGAGAATGGCAAAATAGAGTATAATAGGGAAGTTGGAACGGGATGATGAGGATTAAAAAAAGTGGAAGAGGGGGAACAAGAAGCAAGGAAACCTAATCAGCGGCATCACCACTCTCATCCAGCTGTGGGCGCAGCAGATAGGGCGCAGTTGGGCATTCATTGCAACGGTCCGAATATCAGGTAATTGTTATTCAAACAAGCTCGGCCTGTTTCCACATCCCTTGTCCCCTTCCGAGAAAAACAAATAGTAACCAAGGCATTATTCATCTAGGACTTCAATTCTCGACGATTGCGCGGATACATCAGCTGACATTAGACCTAACATCGAGTTAGATGTAAAAACAAACGAGTACCTACGCGCGACCTCAAAGCTACGACAAAGCTAACTGCAACTACATTAAGTTGTCGAAGACGTGAATACCGACGCTTCTACCGAGATCGCCCGAGAGTGCATGCAGGTCGATCGCTTGCGACAAGTAACATTGGAATAAAAGTTAGACCAGAAGAAAACAGATTATTTAAATAGATTGCCATTGTGACGGAATAAATCTCTTCTATGTACAACGCAAGATATGCAAACTGGACCGTGAAAGGCGATGTAGGGAGAGAGTGTACTCAATGACAAATACAGGTAGTCATCGTTTCCGCTTAGTTCGCCATTCAGCGTACTTCTGCTGCGCTGCATCAAACATACACTCTAAATGACCTGTCACCCGTGAACGATAAGGTAAGGTTGGACCAACTGCGTTACGATTGGTAGAAGAGCTGGTGCCGCTTGTGGATAAACAAACATCACCTTTACCACACAAAGACTGATCACACGTGGCAGCAAAGTGAGCAAGTTTTGTAGATCGAAATCGGGTGAGACTAGCTGCCATTCGTTCCAACTTTTCTGTCAATTGCGGATTTGTTACGGGGAAACATGCCCAAAAGTGACGCAGCAATTCAGACGCGCTGGCATAGAGCAGGTTTAGTTCTCGTAACTGTTCCGAATTCAACAAAGCCGGGCTTCGGTCGACCTCTTCCGTCGATTCGCGATTGGCAATGGAAGTCGTAGAAGAACTACGGAGTGGGCAAGTTTGATCGATGGGGCCGCGACAACCGGATGTATCAGTTCCGTCTAGTAGATCCGTGCGTCCAGCTTTGTGGTCATCCGCGCCCTTGCCGCCGACCAGGCATCCACCAGACGATACATCAGCGAGAGCGATTTGAGCGTCCAAGGGCCCCATAAAAGGTTTAGGCGGCTTACGGTTTGATTCATATGCCGCATGCATAGCCGTTTTGCACCGTTGTACAGCGGCCTCTAGTTGCGTATTAGAATAGGCCTGAGGCCTAGATCTGGAAGGTGCGTTAGAGCTGGATATCGATGAGATGGCTCCTGGATCAGATGTGGACGGGCCATCCATGTAATCGTTCACATTAACTATATCAAGCGGGATATATTCCGGTTCCGGGTCTTTGGTAAGCTCGGGACCATAGATGCGCTCTTTAATGGACTGGTGCGTGGAGGATGACGAGTCACCGACAGGGACTTGCAGTCGAGAGGAAGAGTCGGTTGCGTCCACCGGTGGTGCTGTTGAAGTGTCAGACCCTAAAGACTTGAGCACCAGAATGGAATGATTATTGAATCGACGCATTAGTATTTGATTAGCGGACAAGTGGGCTGTCTTGGGATTGGTCGCAGTGGAAGGGAGTTTATTAGACTCCGTTAAGGGTGAAGAAACCGGGATGTCATCGATGTCCATAGAGTACCCAGGACCGATGTCATGATCAGTTAGATTGTCGAAATCCATTTGGGCAGTAATCCGGTAGCGACGGGAACGGCGCAGCTCATTCTGAAGGTATCGCTCATCCAATTGGGCACATTCAGCGAAAATATCTTCTTTCGGAAGCTGAATACGGTCACTAAAAGTGGAAAGATAGATTCATCGAGTTAGTGTTTGCATGGACGTCAACTCCACATGAACGTATGTGAAAATAAATTGTAGATCATTAGCAACACAGAAGAAATTGAAACGGGTGGACCTGGCTGAGAGTGCGCTCCGATGATGTCCATATTCGTTTGTTGTTTGTGTGTTTCAGTGAAAGAGATGTAAAGAAAATTCCGTTAAAATGTACCGCAAACCAAACTCCAAACGCAGGCCAAATGACCCGAAATGTCAAGGATGCTGCTCCCCTGTGGAAGTTGTAAGTAATGGTGGTTTTACCACAACAAGTGGCCTCTACAATTCTGAGAAATAAGAACTGATGCCTTTTAAGGTTGCTTGTAATGACTAAAAGCTCAAGTTGTTGAAAGATGAGCACGTGCATTGCTGCATACAATCCTTTCACAGACAGTTGCAGTAACTGCGTGTTCAAAAAGACACGGAACTTTTGAAATAGCGCACCAACCAGCAAACGGAGCGCGCTGAGGCTACTGTGGGCACACTAACAAACGGTCTGAGCGAAACGCGGTAAACGGCAGTCTATTGTATGAAGAAGCCTCTACATGCCCTTGGTAGCCGCAGCGCGCTCCTTCTGCCGGTTGGCGCGCAATGCTAAACATTCGATTTCTTTCTCTACAAGTAATTTTTAGGGGAACACAATTTAAATGGTAAAACACCGCCTATATACCACGTAAATTAGTTGATAAGGTGCAGAAAACGAAAAATAGCTTCATTCAATGATTCATGTATCCAACTCGTTGACTGCACTCTGAAATGATTTGGCGGTCTCGACTGGTAAGATAACAGCCGTGACGTGTAATACGCAACAGACCCTATCATATGGCATACACTGTAAAACACATGAACGGAAGTACACTGATAATATCACAAAGAATAAGTGTTATGTTGTACCACTTTGCCTGCGGTTTTGGTTTAACTGAATTCGTTTTCTACTGGCTCCGAATCCAGCCGGAAAGCAGGTCAACGTTTGGAGACAAAAGTGTGTTACAGAACCAGTTACCGAAACGGAAACAAGTAGTGTGAAATTGACAGACATTTGTAAGTCAACCAAGCAGAACAGCTAGGTTAGCTCTCTTGATTGGTAGATTAGTTCCACGAGCCAATAGGAAGGTTGGTGCGCACGTCGAATGGACGCGAACGTTGCTGAAACCACTAGATGTTTCGGTTGTATACCATTGACTCAAACTGTTTCTCTATTGAATTAATGAGTTTTCCTGGGAGGTATTACTCTTCCTGATAAGAAGAAGGCATCAGCAGTACACTGACACATCGGACCGAAGCTTCGCTACCACACGAACACTACCAGTCGCGCGTGGGCTGGGTACACCGCGAGCTGGCCCGCATCTACGCGGTAACCTCCGGATTACAAGGAAAATGTGTAATCTTCTCGGCCACAGGCAGAAAGTTAAGAAGTCGCTAGGTCAGAAGTACCGTTGAAGATAAGCCATAACATGCACGCTTTGGCTATAGGTGTCCATTTGGCAAGAGTATTACTCGTAGATCAACTACCACTCGCTAGGTATTCATATGTTGGAACGCAGTATAATCACGGCAGCGCAACGACCGATATTGTGTTCGGTCTGGGAATCAACACTTACACTGACCAAAGCCAACAAATAAGTCATGAAACAATTTGCCCAGATACGACTCGAATGAAGAAAGTGGATGCAAACCGGATCTTACCGATGGAAATAATGGGACTGGAAAAATTTGATCCAGAAATCAGCTTCAGATAGCTTATCGGGCACCAGTTCCCGGTGACGCTGACGCACAGTTGGATAGGCCCGAAAAATGGCGTCTATAGTATCATGTGTCAAGTTGTACTTGATTCCATTGGCACCATCGGTCTCCGGTTTGATATCGCTGAGCAAGCAGCTAGGAACACCGATTTGTTGTGGCTTGTCTTCCAGTTGAAAACTGCGGGAAATTTGCCCGGTGATGTTGGCAGCAGTAGCTGAAGATGAAAGAGCCGAGCTTGGCGAGTGGTCTGCGATACTCACCGGTGCTCGTGAGCTACTTTTCTGCTGCGGGGTGAAGGATGTTGTCACGGTATCGACACCACCATAAGGAGCGGCCTTAGAGAATTGCGGCCTGGCCCAAAACTCTTCAGAGGTAAGAATGCCCGTCACAACAAGTTCTTTGTACAAAGCCAGAATTTCTGGATTGGATTCAAGGAGGCGAAACTTCTCCTTCAGTTCGGAGTGTGCCTAATAGCGGTTAGGGAGTATACGATAGAGTAGACCGATACAAATGGGAAACAATGGAACGTTGAAAAAACATGACGTGAATTCAACTACAGTTTAGACAAGAAAATCACCAGTGGATCAAAAGAAATGCTTAACTAAAGCAACAATGTAAGTGGAACGGTACAGTTACGACCGAGACGGGTTGCAAAAGCTGTTAGGAATGGTGTTCGAGAAGCTCGGAAAGCTGGATAGATGCTTTAGGCCAGCAATGCAGGGCAATGAACGAAAAATAATGTCTATTGGTTAGGCGATACAATTGATTCAGGAAGTTGGTGCGGTATAAAGGACTGTTTTTATAACACATGGGAAAATGAACAAGTGGAACTGAAAAATAAAACGCAGTGATATTAAGACGAATTTGAATTTTTTTAGACGGTTAGGCAAAACAGAATTCAAAAACATGCGAAAAAATCAAGTTGATTTATTGTAACTACAGATGATACGATAATTAACTGACAAAGCTTATGAGAGGTCAGACCAAGCGTGGGTTTGGTAGTAAGATGGGGATGAAACAATTGCCGAAAGGTCCACGGAATACGCAAGTATAAAAATCGTAGCAGGTTCGCAACCCAGTCAACCGACCAGGGTGACGTGGAAATCGAACCACAGTTTCCCACTAGTTGTTCAGGCATGAGAGAAAAATAGTCATCAGCAGCATGTCGGTACAAAGTGCCGATGTGCCGCTGCCACACGACCACAAACACCGGAAGTCAAGGATATTGCAAGGCCGCCTGCACCTACACAGATTCGATCGGGTGATTTTTGGTTTAAAAAGCAGACGTCTCATCCCTTCGGTCACCGGCTTCCCAGTGAAGCGCATGTACAGGTTCCACAAAGCAGGTGGTGGGCAATGTTAGCCTCGTGTGGTTCAGTGTCATCTAATGGACATCAGTAGTGCCCAATCGATGCTCCCATCAGACAAGAGTGATACGCTGCAAACACTGGTGATAAAAAGTTGTCAGTTTAATGACATACCTAAAGTGAAGTTGCAGGTTGTCAATTTCCATCGCAACATTGACAGTGCCGCAGTGTTGTATGTTCTGCGTCTGATCGATGGATTGATTACCAGCATTTTTCATAGAGGCGTGAGACCAGAAGAGCCACGTTGACTTTGATGATACGTGCAGTATGGTGTAATGAGCACAGTTGTACAAGTGCCTGGACAACTAAGTATGTTGTAGTGAATAACGAACAGGTCTAAATACAGCTAATCACTCGCGATCTCGAAACTGGGTACTCATCGAGCTTCAAGTAATCCGAACCGGTCTAATTCCAAGAAGCACGTTCCAGACAATCTGTGGTTAATATAACCAACGAAACGCACACAATCAATGCCAGAATTGAGGTTATCAAGCTAATGACCCGCCCTATCCTTGAGTGCTGTAGCATAAGGCGACATGAGAAAGAGCAACAAAATTGCTCTGAAACATCCGCATAAGTCGTTTAATAAACATCTGAATTATGGAGTGCGTTGTAAAAAAAACTTCAAACTCATCATCATCATCAATGCACGCGAGCTGAGGGTGAGAAATACACCTCAGCTAATGCGCCGCAACACAGAAATATAAGAGATAAAACAACACAGGACGTAGAAACGAAAAGAAAAACAACTAATATAAAGGTTATCATATCACACATTAGGTGTGAGAAGATAGTTGGAGGAGGAAGCAAAAGGAGAGTGAGGGACAAAGGAACGCACAACACAAACACCAATGAGGTCAACAAGCGCATGCAGCCAGACGTGTTCATCGTCCTCCAAACCCCAGCCCGGCAGTCGGGAGACGTCAACAAAAGCCAACTTCGATGTGAGTGTCTTCATTCCGGTTGACCAAGTCATCGCTTGGCATCCGGTCCTTTTCTTCCATCCACACGCCAGTCGCGCAAACAACGCACGACGCAGGAGTCGGTGTGATGGCATGTGCTGGGATGCCAAACTCGAAAGCATCGCAATAAAGATTATACGCTGGTTATACAAAGGGCTATAACAATCATGCGCTCCAATTTATTCCTGGTCTTTAAACCTAGCTATGGTATAAACTACCAACCACACTCGAGTCACGTGGCAACAGTTAGTAGCAACCTTGCAATTTATCTTGCCCTGAATACAATAGTGACTATATACCCATGGGAAAACCCCTCGATAAACTATTCCAAAAGGCGTCCAAATGGCCTTAACACCCAGGTTTCCTGACCTTGGCTTTCACCTAAACCAGCCACTAAATTGCTATTACATGAATACCTTCCCTCAATGTTGCACATATGCTTATCACCCATGCAAGAGCATGGTTACTTTTGTGCCGCTGAAAAATATACGCATTAGTACTAATAATACTAATGTTTTTATGTATTATGTCGGCCGGATCAGCAACAGAATGTTGCAATTCGAAGGAGAGGAGCACATGCCAAAGTGTGTAGTGGCTAGTGTCACTCCAATAGGCAAGGCATTTACGGTAGTAAGGCCCGATCACCAGAAATACATCGCGTACTCTTCGCGTCTCTGTCAGGCGGAGCAGCATAATTTATGATTATTTCAATTTAAAAGTTGGAAAGGAAGTGAAAGATGCGGTAACTCTAGTGGAATTTGACTGCGGCTAGGGAACTAAGGTTGGTTGAGAAGGTCATATTAATCGAATGAACGTCGACTGAACACCTCAGCATATAGCATCAAACGCTGCTGTGACTGGCCAAATGGAGCCAAGTGTGACTAATCGATGAGACAAAAAAATCGCGAAGAAACTGATCGAAAACATAGAGAAGATTGGTGCATGGCGTGATTGGGGTCTGGACCAAGTTAAAAGTGATCGGAAGGCACGTGAACAAGGTAACTTCATAAGCATTTAAGGTAAAAGTGCCGACACAAAGTCGGAAAACGCAGCTGGAAGAGCAGCCAGCAACGCCCACAGAGCATTGTCAATGTTACGTTTCATCGATTCCAAAAAATCCATTACCATTTCGAAAATCTGGGATAATACCGGCGCCCTCATTCATCATTGGGAATATTTTGCTGCTTCGTTTGGTGTTTCAATTTCAGGAACAGTTCGGGTTGTCCCCTGCATCTTGTTCGCTACGTACTGAGGTGACATAAATTGAACCACGGACACTTTGAAGCTGGGATCAGAAATGCGGTCTCAGTTAACATTTGTTTCCAGGTTACTGGTTTTTGTTTCTTTCGTGCAGGTGATATACGATGATGGTGCTGAGGTCTTCCACCATTAAGAGTTGTCTAAGGCATAGCATACGCAATGTTGCAAAAATACCAAATGACCTTTCGATCGATGTAAATTGTATACATGTTCCGAATACCGTATTGTGGAAGTAGAATTCAAATCTGTACAACTTCATCGGAATATAATTAAAAAGGTTATAAAAAGTATCTATCATCTGTAGATACCCCAAGCGTTCTTTAAGTTCCTATGCAGCATTTAAAGAGGTTTGACTTACAGTTTCACTTGGTTCACAAATGTAAGGTGTCATCGCTACTGTGCAATCAGTCCCTGAATCAAATGATGGTGAAATGCAAGTCTAACAAAGTTTTGAACTGCTGCATAGATTTGGCATCGACAACTTGTTCTGGAAGACTGTTCCATAAAAGCAAAGTATCAGCAGTATGCCGATACGCAGTACGGGCGTTTCCATGTTGCGCGAGCACTAGTCGCGAGTTGACTAAGGATACTGAGAGGGTCGCCCGGTCCCTACGCAGGCTTGAACGCGCGCCCGCGGATTACTAGGCAAGCTTATGATCCTTAAGGCTACGGGCCGATCGAAGCATCGTGGGTGGGGTAATGGTTCTATACCCAGCACCACAAGCTTGTACCAGTGTCCGCGTGTGCTGCAAGGCGTTCGCAAGTGAAGCAGCGTCAAAAACATGCGGTAGTCCCCGAGGCATAATATGCGGTAGGTCACGATGAGAGCAACTCGCATCAGACGATAGGACAAGCTGTAGAGTCCCAGTTTCACGTACGATAATCCTCGTAAAGTTGGAATAAGCCTGGTAACGACGTGTTGGACATGTTCAATTTTCTGCGCCTCGCCTCGGTTGATTGGATAGTAGGCAGGTCAACCGTAGTCCAGTATTGGTTTTATGATGAAAGAGAAGAGGCGAGTGGCGACCTCCTCAGGTCAGTTACAGAAGTTGCGTTTGATCGCGCATAGAATATGCCGTCCGTTACGACATCACCTGTTCGTATTATCCACGGACTTCAAGTCGCAGTGCGAGACCTAGATTATTCACGGAATGCATGGAATGTAGCAGTCAGCCGCCAATGGTGTAATTTCCGCCGTCCACACCTTTCCCTACGCTCATGATTACCGACTTGCTTGGGAGGCGGACTTTTGCGGATCGCATGCAGAGGCGGCTGAGGTCTTGCTGAAGTGGGCTCCGGCCGTCTGTGGTGTTTATCACTCTCCACACCTTTAGGTTACACGCAAACAGGGCACAAGGCGACCGAAGAAGCTGAGGTAGATCGTTGATGTGGATTGGGAATAGGGTGGGTTCCAGCACCATAGTCACGGCGCGCCTGTTAAAATGCCCCACCTAACGGAGTGGCCGACGCGGACGAGAATGGATCAACAGCTCATCTTTCTAAGCTATAATCGCACAAAACTGGATATTTCATGAACCAATGCTCCTAATGAGTTGAGACAGCACTCAACTGCTCACGAAAGCACTGGCTTATCTGCATTTTACGGAAGCTAGCTACGCATCAACGCTCGCGACCAATCCTAGGATTTATTGTAAAATTTCGTTCCGGTGCGTTAAGGACACACTGGAAAGAAACACCTGACAAGACCTCTTTTATGTGTTTTGATCAAAATGTTTGTGGCTCCAAAAGTCAATGCAAAGTTTATGGTCTATCACTATAAATAAATTAACCGGTCGTCTACCAAGTTTTCTGAAATGATGACTTCCCGATCGGTTCCAAATATGTTCCAAGATATCGAGCCCATGCAAAGTTGATGTA